CGGTGCGAGAGAAGGGGCAGCTAGGCAGCCCAGCACCTCGACTCTCTTCTGACTCAACACTGCATGGCGAACGTTCGGATGATTGATCGAGAGGCCGCCCGGACGCGCGCGCACACGCTCGATCGGCAATCTACAACAGTCACCCACTATGCAAGTCGCGAGTGTGTGCGTGCGCAAGTTTCTGTTTCTGCACCCTTCTGCATGGCAGCATGACACGATGCAAGTCACGAGTCCACGAGCACACAATCCGAGTGGAGGGGCCTACATGTCTACTCGCCTGATGGTGCTTCACCACACAACAAGCATCAGCTAAGGCATGCAAGCATCGGCTGGGCTCGGCTCGGCTCGCTCGTCCGTGCCCGCCGTGCTGCCGCTTATGGTCCCATCGCCAATCCGACGTGGATTTCGCTGCCTACACGGACTTGATACGTGTTCGCTGTCGGATCAGCACTCCACTCACACGAGCGGAAGATGGCAAGCACCGTCACTCACGAATCCGATGAATTGTGATTGTCAAAATGTGGTGCTGATGCGCTCTTGCGCGCGCGTACACGTGGATCTCATCTCGAGGCCCACCTCTTCGGAACAAATGGATCGTGTCTTGCACCGAGATCGGGCCCTTTGCATGCGTCTGACAAATGAGACTCTTCACTTTGCCGGAGTGCAGTCAGGGTTTCAATTAAGCGTCGCGAGCGCATTGATGCCGATCGAGGTCCATCCAGACGAGCTCCCTTCTGCGAATCATCAGGCGGTCCGGTCTTTTCGACCGTACGAAGAAGCTCGAGTTCCGAATCCGAGACGTGCGTCTCGAAATGGAGTCACGCGTGGATCTGTGGCGCTTGCGCGTGACGTTTATTCTGACATGTGCTCACACGCCTGCGCCCCACCTCGCTCCAACCAAGCGATTCGATTCGGTCTGTGCAATTCGGGTCAATGCCAAGCGTGCTCGGTCAATGCCAAGTAGTGCGCTTCAGCTAGCATTCGATTCGTGATCCCACATTTGATTGACTTGCGAATTGCTCGATCGCATCGAAGCAGTCAAGAATAGTGGATCTTTGACAAGCATCAGGCATCATCATCCACCCCATTCGCGATTCGAAACATTCACAACAGATTCTTGATTTGATTCTTGTCGATTCCAAGCAAGCGGGGGCGCGGCGGATCTTTCGAGTCACGAGTCACGAGTCACGAGTCACGAATCTCGACCGCTCGGCTCACGTGATTAAAATGTCGGCGAACCGATCAGGCAGCAAAAGCCGAAACAAGCGATGGATGTGCATGCATGGGAGGAAGCCAGCTAGCTCGCACGGTGTACGGTACCGGTACCGGTACAACTTTGCATCACACGTCCGTGTGCACACACATGCTCGCACGCAAAACTCGACTCGCGATGCACGCGCGCCAGACGATCAAGAATTGTTGTGTGTGTATGAAAAGGCATTTATTTGCTTTTGACTGTGCAGTCACGAGTGTGAACCGTAAAGTGAAGCTTGTTGAATCGCGAATCTGCGAACGTCGAGGCGGTGAGCCTATATAGTTAGCTTCTTTCAGCCCGCACACACACGCGTGAGTGCCTACAGCTGTTGCTCTATGAATTCGCGCTTGGAGGACTTTTAACGCGCGACGCCTATCACGAGCGGAGGAGTGGCGAGTAGGTAGGTGAGTGCATGCGGACGGGCGCTTTCATCTTGCGCGTGTGCACTCGAGGCTGCATGGCTTTTGCCTTCCGAATTCCACCCTGAAGAAAGATGTGGGATGATCATGTCAACCAGGAGAAATCTAGATGATCGACTCGATCGTGATGCCGATGGGGGGGGGGGGGGGGGGGGGGGGGGGGGGGGGGGGGGGGGGCAGTTTGAAGCCGTCCACGCATCAATCAGTGAATGAAGGGACAAGACGATACTCGCGTGACCTGAAACTGATGGGCGTGCGTGCGTGCGTGCGCTCGGGCAAAGCCCGCGCCCCGCGTGTGAGCTTTTCATGCGTGTGCGCGCGCGTACGGCGCTGAGTTCACGCCTGCTGTGTCGTTGCATGCTGCTGCTGCTGCTTGCTGCTCAAGTCGTGAGTCGTGAGTGCGGCATCGCGCGTATCCATCATCAGATGCCCGCGCGCGCTTTCTTGATTTTTGAGCTCAAGCGCGGTCGGCGCGCGCGCGCGGCTGTCGAGATGAATCAGTCACGAGGCGCGAGTCACGCACGGCGTTGTGCGCATACATGCGACTCATGCCTCTTTGCCCATCACTTGATCCTCACCCACCCTCTCTCGTCACTCGGTGGTTGTGACCGCTCTTTGCATCCACACACGCACACACACACTCTCTCTCTTGCACACCTCTCGATCAAGTCGTAACTGTGTGCGCGCGCACGCGCACGTCTGTACAGTCACCCCGCCCCGCCACACCAAGTATCCTCCGCATACACCCGCGCACACCCAGAGCCACACACTCGCATTCGGCCCAGATCCGCGCCGACAGAGTCCACACTTGACACTGTCTCGCACTCAGATCAAAGCGCCGAGTGGCTCGCTCGCCCGCTCGCTCCGCTTTGGCGGCCATGTCGCTCGCATACTTTGCGGCGCCTGTTGGCCCGCACGCCTTCGCCTTTGCTCAGGCTACCCCAAAGGTAGCTGAAGAGGCTCCTCCCGCAAGCGATGTCGGTGTACAGCAGCCACGAAGCACCAGCGATGGCGACTCTAGCATCGAGACAGGAGCGTCTGCCGATAGCTCTCCCGCTAGACCAAAGAGGGCAGCGGCGGCTCTAGCCAATGCGAGCCTGACTTCGCCTTCCAAGGCCTCCAGCTCCTCTCCCAAAAAGATGCCAGTCGAGCCAGCTTACTTTTACCCATCCGACTCCACCGACGTTTCAGCGACGGCAGATGATGGTGTGCCCGTCTTTGAGCCGACAATGGAACAATTTGCCGACTTTGAAGCGTATTGCGAGGCCATCGATGCTTGGGGCATGCGGTCCGGCATTGTCAAGATCATACCGCCGCGCGCGTGGAAGGAGCAGCTGCCCTCTTTGCAGCTGCCACCCGAACCGGACGGCACGCCGAGGGGCATCGCCAGCGTCAGGATCCGCAATGCCATTTCACAGAATTGGGTGCCGGCAGGCAGCGGTCTTTGGCGTCAACAAAACGTGGTGCATCCCGCCAAGATATGGAATGCTCTGCAGTGGGCCGAAGTGTGCGCCAGCGAAGCTCAGCGAGGTCCAGAGATGAACCGAATGAAGGCCAATGCGGAGAGGACGAGACGTCCTGTCGATGCTACGGAAGAGGATGGAGTCAGAACGCGATCTGGACGGGCCAAGGATGGTAGGCCCAGTCTCGGCATTGCTTCCAGCAAGCGCAAGCGTCCTGCAGCACCCCGAGCATCCAATGGTGGCGCTTCCCAGCACCGCCGCTCCTCCACTCAACCGCGCGAATCATCCCCTCTACCTGCCTCCAGTGACGTCGCACAACCCTCTGAGGCTGATGAAAAGCCGCAGGCTGGGCAAAGTGATGCTCGCGCGCCGAGCACGTCTCCCACTCGAGTGCTGCGCACCAGGCCCAGCGCTGGACAGGAGGGGGACGTCAAGAGCGACGTCAAGAAGAGCGAAAGCAAGTCGAGTAGTGCGGCACCGAAGCCCAAGGCCGCGGACCTCACTACCGAAGCCGAGTGGGCTGCATTCAATCACGAGACGTGCTGGTTGCGAGAGGCAGCCAGCGATCCTGCCAGTGCTCTCAAGATTGCGGTGCTCGGCGAGTCGCGGGCAGACGGCGAAACGCAGCCCGGCGAAACGATCAAGATGGAGGATGGCGAGGGTACTACGAAGATGGAGCAGGTCGATGGCGGGGAGTCTGCCAAGGCGGACGACGTCTCGAAGCAGCCAACACCTAAAGATTGGCAGAACGCAGACACTTGTAGAGAGATTGAAGCTGAATATTGGCGGGGTTTGAATTTTGGCAAGCCGCCAATGTATGGAGCGGATCTCAAGGTGCGCAGCTCTCTCCTCTGTCTGCCGTGGAACCACGCTCACCAACATTCTGCTCTCTCTCCCCCCAGGGAACGCTCTTTACGCCCGAGACGACTGCCTGGAACGTCGGCAACCTGCCCAACATCCTCACGCGGTTGCGCCTCAAGCGCAAGCTGCCTGGAGTCACGACGCCTTACCTGTACTTTGGCATGTGGAGAGCGACATTTGCGTGGCACGTGGAAGACGTGTGAGTGCGACGTCATGTCTGTGTTAGTGTTCAACGACCGCTCATACCCTTGCACTGTGCGCGCCAACAGCGACTTGTACAGCATCAACTACATTCACTTTGGAGCACCAAAGCAGTGGTACAGTATCCGACAGGCAGACAAGACGAGGTTCGAGAATGCCATGGCAGGTGCTTTCCCAAGCGATGCGCGCAGATGCAAACACTTTATGAGGCACAAGTCCTACCTCGCCTCTCCTGCCTTCTTGGCAGCGCACAACATCAAGCCTCTGCGGCTGGTGCACCACGCTGGTGAATTCGTCATCACTTATCCATACGGCTATCATTCTGGCTTCAACATGGGCTTCAACTGCGCCGAGAGCGTCAACTTTGCCTTGCCCTCGTGGCTTGACATTGGACGTCGAGCGGGCTGGTGCGAGTGCGAAGAGTGGAGCGTGCGCATGGACGTCGATGCCATCCTCAAGGAATCGGAAGAGATCATCGAGATGGAAAAGAAGCGGGAACAGCGCGCTCTGATCCGCCAGCAGCAGGAGGCCGGCGCTGAAGTGGATCGGGAACGATTGGAAGCGAGACGGGTGGCGCGGCGCGAGTACGAAGCTCGAAGGAAAAAGGCCAAGGCTGAGCGTCTGGCAGCGGAGGCGAGCGGAGACGCCGAAACGGCGAGCAGTCCAACGAAAAAGGTTCGACGCACGTCGATCGAGGATGCGGATGCCGACAAGACTTGCGTCTACTGCGTGTCTGATTTCGACAATCCCCATGTGCGCATCGAGGAGGTTGATGCGGAGAGAGCAATAGCACCGCCTCGCTACGCCCACGATCTCTGTGCCAATTTTGTGCCAGAGACGTGGGTGGAAACGCGCGAGGATGGCATTGACGTCGTCAAGGGATTTTCTGGCATTCCAAAGGCCAGGCGCACCCTCAAATGCGCCCTTTGTCCGCGCGAAGAGTATGCCAAGGCTGGCATCAAGACACAGTGCACCTATGGAAACTGCACGCGCGCCGCGCACATTGGCTGCGCTTACCTCGAAGCGACGGGATGGCGCCTCGACGTGCTGCCTCAATCGAAAGCTGATGTTGTCGAAGGGCGCAAAAAGGTTAGCAATGGAAAGAAGAGGCAAGTTCTGGAGGCAGTGTCCGCTGAGCAGGCCGAGATGGATCTTGCCAACGAACCAGTCCGACACGTAGTCCTCTGCTCCACGCACAACCCGCACGCCAAGAAGAGGCTGTCAGCGAGCGCTCAGAGGAATGCAGCCATCGAGCGAGCTTGCGCATTGAGACTCAAAGTGGACGAAATGTGCAGCGTCAAGGTGGCAGGGCACGAGACGCTGGTGCCCATCGTTCGCATCGTCGATTCTTCTGGCGAGCTGCCGGACGTTGCCGGTGCTGTACACGGCTCTATATCCTATTTCTACCGACCGGACGAGGAGCGATTTGTCAAGTGGTGCCACGTCATCTTTCCTGAGGAGGAAAAGCTTCAGGCAGCGGCCGAGTATGATGCGGCACAGGCACAGGCGCAAGCGCAGGCGCAAGCGCAAGCAGAGATCAAACCACAGGCGAAGCGAAAAGTCGTCACTGAGGAGGAGGGGGATGCGCAGCAGCAGACCAGCACAAGTGAACAGCCAAGGAAAAAAGCTCGCAAGCCGACCGATCCAAACGCTCCAAAGAAGCCTCGAAAGCCTCGCGTCTCGAAGGCGCAAGAGCAACAGGATTCCACGGGCTTGCAGGTACCACCCAAGCTTCACGCTGCGCAAATGACGCCGAGTCCTTCCAAGCCTCTGCTTGAGCATGCCAGATATGCGATGCCGCTCGATGCGCCCCTGACTCCGGATTCTAGCAACGGCACGCCACCTCACATGTCTCATGGTGCGCTGCACCGTCGCGAGCCCTTGATGCATGGGCCGATGCCACCCTCTGGGCACTACGCGCCGCACCTCGGCTATGGGTCTGCGCGCTATTATCCTAGTCACGAAGTTGCTGCGCCATACCCACCTGGAGCTGACAGTCGACACGGAATGACGTATGGACACCACCAAGTTCCATACAGCGCGGCGTACGCGCATCAAATCCCTTCGATGCAGAGCCACGCATACGCGCATGCGCCAGATCTTCGCGAAGGGAGAATGTCGGTCCAGCGGCCTGAAGATGCACTGAACAGTCTGGCTACGCACGCAGCAGCCATGGCACCGGCTGTCTCGAGTTCAGCTCGCCATGAAAACGCATCCCTGCACTCCTCTCACGGTCGTTACGACCCGCGCCACTCTTCCTATGCCAACGGCAGCATGTCGAGCTCTTCTCCTCACCTGAGCTCCTCATCTCCGCACCACGCTGCACCAACGTTGCCACCCATCGGGCGCGGACATGCTCCGTACCAAGCAGAATATGGTGCTTACGCTTCTCAAGGCCCTCAAGCACATCTCTTTCATCCCTCTTATCGTCAACTTCAGCCTCCTCCCCCCTCGCACCATCGAGCGCCTCACGCGCAGCCAGCTCCAGCTGACAATCGCGCTACCGCCGCTCGTCCCTACTGATCCGTGCGCGACAAGCGCATGCGCCCGTGACGAGCGCCCGCACGCGCCCCATCTTTTTGTGTATTTTTTTCTGAATGGCATTTGCTCCGACATCAATTTGCTCGATCTATGCATTGCGTGCGAGTCCGCGTGTGAGGTAGAGAGGGAGTGTGACGAAGGGGTTCACAATGAGGGGTGACATTCAACGAGACGGAGGGGAAAAAGGCTTTTTTTTTTTTTTGATTGCGGTCCTTATTTGGCAGCCTGGACGGCTTTGAGAATTGCGCCTTCTGCCGCTGCAAGACCAGCCTTGAATTGCTTCTTGTAGCTAGCCGCATTGCCCGACTTCAACTTGCCCAGGGCCAATCTAGCGCTCCAAGAATCCTCCATGTACTGCTGAGCAAAGCCCAATTTGGAAAGATTGGCGTTCGAAGCAAAGTATCGAGCAGTCTTGAAGCCGTCTGAAAAGCCTGCTCTAGAGGCCAGCGTTTGGTCGCTCGGTGTGGAGGCGGCGGCGGCTTGACGAGAAGAGAGCTGAGAGCGCACCATGGCGCCCGCGCGCGCTGCTATGGATCCGCCGCCGTTCACGTTGCGCGTCTTGTGAACGACCATTCCTACGCGGGCAGTCTCGCTGGACGGTGCGGTGGCGCTCGCGCTCGCACTCGTCTTGGCGCTCAAGACGTCTGGCGTCGATTCGTCGTCCGCGTCGCCGCCGCCGCCGCTGACGATCTTTTTGAGGTTCAGAGAAGAAGCGGATGGCAGCTGGATCGCAGAAATGGTCGCGAGCAGATCCGCGACCTTTTTGTTGGCATCCTTTTTTCCAGCAGCAGAACCAATCGCAGCGTAGACGTTCTTGGTCACGTTTGCCGAGTTCCACAGATCAAACGTCGAAGGCAAGTACTGTTTGGCCGCTTGCTGGAAGCACCAACCACCATTGTTGGAGCAACCTTCGAGCTTGTACGACCAAAAGGCCCAACCAGCCGTAGCGTCCGTGTACAATTTCCTCTGAGCTTCGCAGAATGCAGTCTGATCCTGCTGAGGCGTGGAGGATTTGGCTAGACTGCTGGGTGCTAGAGCGCAAGACCATTCCCCAACAATCAGATTGCGACGAGAAATGTCGCTGTTCTTGTTGAACCAAGTCGTGATGCCACCGTTGAGAGCTTTGGTGTGACCCTTGGCGGTGGTGGATTGGTCGGAGCTGGTGTAGACGTAGTACGCGTGATGATCCTGCACCACAAAGTCCTTTCTCGTTGCTGTGAATTGAGATCCCTTGTCCAGGTTAAAGGCATTGTGAAAGTACAATGGCACCGTCTTTGCTTCGGGAGAAGCAGCTCTCATCGCGTCCATCGCCTTTCTGTACCAAGGCCAAAGGTTTGACCTATCCTGAGGCTCGTTGAGCAATTGAATACCAATCACGTTGGTCACGTCCGAAATCTCCTTGGCCAGCCAGACCAGCAGATCAGTGGTCAAACCCATATTGTAGTCGTTGTAAAACTCGATGTTCCCGTCCGAAAGTCCCGAATGAGGTTGACCATTCTGGCTGCCGTAGGCTCCATGCAGATCCACCAGAACGCCCATGTCGTACTTGGCTGCCCAATTGATCGCACGAGCTACGTAGCGCCAAGATCGAGCGTACACGTCTTGGTACGCAAGAAAAGGGCTGTTGCGTGTGAAGTACGGGCCGACGGACCAGTAGCCGATGGGCAGGCGAATCGAATTGATTCCTTGAGCGGCAAGCTTGGCAAAGTCGTCCTCGGTGATCCAAGTGTCCTGCCGGAGGGGGGAGGGAGGGGACAGTGGCGCCTTCAACATCATGTGCTCAACACCATGTGCGCAACATCATGTGCCCAGCTCACACACACACACACTCACCCAGTGCCTCTCCATATAAGCCGTCGCATTTCGTACGCCAGCGGCCGACTGACCGAAGCCATCCAGCACGTCGTACTCTGCCTGCTTGCCGCCCGTGCTGCAAGAGAAGAGGTTGGACTGCATCCAACCTTCGAGGACGAACCAGGCGCCCATATTGACAGCATTCTGCTGCCTGTACCTCATCACGTTTGCCTTGACCGGATCGAATGGAGCAAAGACGGGAGGCGGCAACGCATCCTCGCCTCCCTTTGGCGTGTAGGCCGATTGGATGGGACAATTGCCAGGCCCGATCTTGGGTCCGCTGGATGCAAAGCTATTTGCAGTGGACGCATTGCGCTGAGCGACGTACAACACCGACGGCTCTCCCCACTCCTCCACTGGTCTGGCATCGCCGCTGCCGCCTGCTGCACCGCTGCCCGCACCCGTCTGCACTTGAAAGGAGCGGCCAGCACCACCAAGTTCTGCAAGGCTGGCCCCGCCCAACTGAGCCGTCAAGGCCGCAGCTGCCGTAGTGCCATTGGTCGGCAATTGAGGCACGGGCTTGTAGTTGGCAATGGCCAGGGACAAGCCGCTGGCCAAAGAGTAAATGTTGGTATCGCGCGGCAGCAAACGCATCCTTGCTTGCAATCAGAAACCTCCCACTCTGCCGTACCTGCGGCGTTGAATGCAAAGAGTGTGAATGAGCGAATCGAAATGGCGCCAGGCCGAAGAAGATGAAAATGAAAGAAAGGAAGGTGAAGGAGGAGGAGGACTGCGACCTGGCAAATCCGAGAGAGCGGAAGAAGGGGGGGGGGGGGAAAGGATGTGGAATGATGGCAAAGACGAGAGAGAATTTGGACGCTGGCTCATAATGAAGCTTTCTCCAACGGAAACCGCTTCTCTGGACTCTCGCTTGCACTCGACACGACCGGTAGCGCGCCACCGCGAGCGCAACCAACCAACCAACCAACCAACCGCCTTTCCGACGACTCAACAACCACCAACGCCGCCGACGTGGACGTGGACGGGGACGGTGGACCAGACCTGCCCTTTCGAGAAGCGCGAGCCGACCGCTGCACCGCTCGATCGGTGGAACGAGGCATGACCACGTCTTACCAAGAATGACGCCAAGACACCGAAGGCTTGTCGAGAGGCAGTCAAGAGTCGTTTCTGCCGCGTAACAATCCTTTGACACGCACACACCTCCACGATGCGTGGGTGTAGGCCAGGCCAGGCCAGGCCGAGACGCGCGGGCGCGCGGGCGCGTGCGCCTCCAAGAAGTTCAACATCCACCACCATGACGGCCGCGAATCGGCGTCGCTTATTTAGCCGCAAGCTGCACCGCACCCGAGCGAGCCTTCGAAATGTTAATCACAATGTTGAATGTTGCACCTGGTGTAGACTGATCTGCAAGTGCAGGTGCAAGTGCAAGTGCAAGTGCAAGTGCAAGTTCCAGGCCCAGACCCTTGGACGAATCACGCAGGACTTGCGCTCGTCGGGCCCGCACCATCCGCCCGCCGCAATCAAGTCGAAGCAACTCTCGTGCGTCCATTGATCCCTTGGCAAATCGGCCATCCAGTCGAGTCTCCGGCGCCAAGTCGCACGCACACACACGGACCCCCCCCGTGTTGCCGTGGCGCACAATTCGTTCCCAGGCGGAACTCGTGACTGCCAAGCTGCCTGCCTGCCTGCCTGCCTGCCTGCCTGATTGGTTGCCGTGCAGCATTGTCATTGTCACCGATTCGATCGACTTTGCGCAGCCAGCATCGCGAGAAGAGTCTCCGGTGCGGCGCTCAATCCGCTGCGAGATGGCTGGGTGTGGATGCATGTGTGGAGGTATCGCAACGGATGGGATGGATGTCAAGATCCGAGTCGCGCGCCTCGCATGCGTGGCCGTTGACCTGACTCGTGACTGCCGAGAAGGACGTACGGCGCGGTCGCGCGCGCATGCGTGGGACCAGAATGTCCGAGACCAACATGGAACGAACTGCTATGCTTTGCATTCATTCACCATTACGTATTGATTTTGATTTTGATTCAGATTCAGATTCTAATTCTGCCCGCGGGCGCTCTCGACATCCACGTGATTCATGCAGGTTTCTGATCGAGATCACTAACAATCAAATCAGCTCCGCATTCAACAATTTCATTGCACACGCCTGCCTCGAACGACATCAATCAAGCAGCGACGCCGACTTGAACGTCGTGCACCTTGGAGAGCCAATCGGCGACGTGTTGGGCGTCCCTGACTCTGCAAGCGATCTTGAACCTCTTTGGCACCGTAGCAAAATGAATCGGATTATCGCTATCCTCATCCGGATCAAACGTCGTCGTCGTCTTCGTCGTCGTCGTGGTCCCATCATCAGCTCCAGACGCGTCCGCCACCTCGAAAAAGTAGATGAGCTGAGCGAGGGCAATGTAGATTTCTCGATTGGCCAGAGTCGTCGCGGGACAGATGCGCTTGCCTATACCGTAGCTGTAATTGTCCACTAGCCACGTCTTGCGAGATGTGGCGTCGTCGGACATGTACCTCTCCGGATCGAACCTTTCAGGATCCTTGAAGCGAGACGGATCGCGATTTACTGCGTGCGCATTGAGGGAAATGATGGTGCCCTGAGAAGCGGCGAAGCGATCAGCGGCAGGCACAGGGAACGCGCCATCAGCGCAAGCACAGACGCGAATCAGCCCC